GAGGTGGTGTCGTGAGCGTTACTCAGGCAATCTTGATAAGTTGGGTGATGGTGTTCGATTGAATGTGTGAGTTTCGGAATTTTTTGTTTTTTTTGATTGTAGTCACGTGCTATATAACTCTTTTTTTACGTTTGTTGTTTTTTCTCTAAAATATATTTTGTATCTTCTTTGTGCCCTCTGTCTTTAACGCTTGCTTGCCATATCTCTCTCTTTTTTTTTTCATTTTTTCGCGTTTACGTTTTTTTCGTTTTCGCCCTCCTATCTCGAGTCCGTTACTAATTGATTCTACTTCTATATACATAATTTTTTTGCAAACAATTTATGTGGTGCTGTAAATTCCACTTTGTTTCTTATGCCAGAAATTAATTTGATTCCTCGTGGTATTGTTAGATGCTTTCTTCTTGTTGCACATTGATGGTCACACCGTTGATAGCTTCACTTTCCCACAGCAAGTTAAGTAAGCGATTATAGTTGTAGCTACTTAATCAACCAGGTTGTTGTTTTAGATCACATAACATGACACGCTTTTGCACAGGAATATAGCATTTCGCTTATTTCTACTATAATATATGGAGTTGTGGACAGTGTTGCGAATATTGAAGTGCAATATGCGCCATAAACTTGCCGCTTTCACCCGCGTCCAGAACTGTATTACCTCACACCCAAATCTATCTACCCAAACAATTATCAGCCTTCTCGTTTTGTCCTGCTCAGTCCCCAGCTTAGGCAGGCCAGTCGGACTGGATGGCTCTCCGAATCGCCCGACTGTACAAACAGCCCTGCGCCATAGTTTTTTCAGCGGTATATTTTAATCGCCCGTACAAGTTTATTGTCAGCACTACCTATTTAAGCATTTTTGGTTAGGAAAAAATCTGATTTGCTACTCCATACTCTCTACGATTGCCCCACTTAACCACAAGGCGTATAAAATAGACGTCAGCCTTGCTATGGCAAACTCCAGTTCTTTACTCTATCCCTTGTTTTGAGTAGCGAATCATAAATTCCTAGAAACAAATTATGCCTTTGGCTATTTGATGATTAAAATAAATCGGTTTGGGAATTCCCCCTTCTACTTAGCTGATTCAACCTATCATGCGAAACGGAAAATGCGCTGACTTTTAATTACTCACAGGAAACTCAATTTGTGTGGTCGAAAAAAAAAACACAATCTTGCATTTGCAGTATTGACAGACTAAAAGGAAGGGGGCTATTTGAGGCATTAAGATACCGCAAACTGTGTGGTGGTGACGGTCAGAAGTTGAATGCGGTGAGGATTGAGGACCACTTAGGCCATGGTTATGTTTTAATAGCCTACCAAAACGAGACTAGTGCGTTGCAAATGTCGGCGCAGGCTAAAACCAGTCTAGCCGGCGTGATTGGCGTTGGTAACCTTTTCGTGCAATTGCTATGCGCGCGTGAGGGCAAACAGTTGTTGCGGTGGGGCGACTACCCTCAATATATTGTTCAAATCTCGGTCTTGGTTAAGGGTCACTTGGTGTCTCGGCCATTGCAGCTTTGCCAGGTGTGCTGACTACTGTGCCATGCGAGTAGCCCCAAGCCCATCTGTACGCCGACAATACATATTCTGCCCAAGTAATGCGCCTTCCTTCGCCTTCAAGGAAGTCTCTGAAGGGGTATTATTTGCACACTTTGAAACAAATAACAAATAAATATTGCTCTGGTATCCATATTGCAGTATGTTTAATTGGAAGAAATCTGCGAAAATCAAAACAAATAAGTGAATTTTTTACTTATTGTTGGTGGGCAATATCAAGATCATGGGAAATGTCTATTTGATTATCAGGGTTAAATCATTCCAAAGTTGTCTGAAAAGTTTTTCATACAAGCAAGGATTAAATATTTTCACTGTATTTTTAACCACACAGTCAACTCAATTCATTTAAAAGCACAACACGTCTGTGCAGCGCAGCCATTGGCTTAAGTAATACTGCAGCATCTGCGTCTATCAAGGAGATCATAAAAGTCAAAGTACTAGAGTACAGCAGGCAATGCTGACGAACAGAACGACTGATGGACTGCTGGTATAGTGTAATACGATGGTGGTTTGTCCCACGGTTCTAGTGAGGCGCCACTTTTGTACTTTGAATTAGCCCTCTTGTACCTTGCTGGGCGGGCTGGCCTTTCGGGCCATGCCAGTAGCCCAAACACCTTCTCCGCACTGAATATATATTCTGCCCGAGTATTGCGTCTTCTTCCGTCCTCAGGGAAGTCTCGGGACGCCACATTGGTGGCAGCGGAAAGCGAACCCGATCTTAAAAGACATGTATCCTGATTTTCCACTTCTGCGTGCTAAGCCTTAGTGGAGCGGAAGAAGTACATATGCTACGGATGAGAGAATGGTGATGACCCCTAATAGAAGATTTGAATTTGACGTCAGTATCTATCCCAGTCCCGTGTTCTGCAGATAAGCTGTTAATGACTGAAGCCGCACTAGCCGTAAACCATTTGAAAATTTCGTTGCAGACTTTCCTACCGTAGCCCATGGACCTGTATTAAATCCCATTCTTCCCTACACAAATCTACTTTTAAGACAGTGTTCCTTCATCCATCTATGGGCACGTATGATGGCCAACACAATTCCCCATCCCGAATCAAGTTCCTAAATCAGACAAAAATCCACATTCAGCTGGGCTATCAAGAGGGATCAGTGAGGTTAAGGTCAAGTATCTCCTCAGTTGCGCGCTAATTTGGTGACTGGCACGGTCGGATCGAGGGTTCTCGCTAACGGCACCGACTACGTTGTAATGGTTGACGAAGAAGGATAACCTGCGAAAGACCCGGGGACGACGCTCTAAAGAGTAAGGAGCTATGTAGTACGACAGTGGTTTTTCCTTTGGTATTGGTGAGGCGCCACTTTTGTACTTTGAATTAGCCCGCTTGTACCTCACTGGGTGGACTGGCCTTAGGGCCATGCCAGTAATTCAGACAGCTTCTCTGTGCTGAATATATGTATTCTGCCTGAGCACTGTGTCTTCTTTGGTCTTTAGAGAAGTCTAGGGACGCCACAATTATATGGAGGTCATACCGATCAAAAGAAGGACAATCACAAAAGTTATTTAGGTGAGAAGAGACCAGTCTATGCAAACTTCGGGAGTAAAAATATACCCTCATCTTACGATAAGTAATCCAAAAAATAGGCCCATCATTACGTGAAATGCAAAAAAGACCAGAAAATACCGTAATAATAACAAAACCCAAAAAACCCTAAATTTTTGTTATTAAAATACAAAAAAACGACACAAAACAATCCGCATAAAGCGCAAAATAGGCATAAATCAAAGGCAATAAAAAACCGCTTGATAAAACTACACAAAATAATAACTGCGAATAATATAACTAGCAATAAAAAAATCAGTAGCGCAATTATTGTAACGAGTTTAATTTTTTTTTGTTTAATTTGAGGGAGTTTGTTTATTCGCATCACTAACTCAAAAGATTCAGCAATTTAAACCCAAGTTGTGGTGCATCGAGGATACGAAGCTTAGATGATCCTGTGGAAATACATTGTAATAATCACCGCCGCAACGCTCTCCAGTTAAGTGCACAACTATACATATAAGAATATACTTGATTTCTCCAATTATACACTTTTTTTGTCAGATGTAAAAATGCATGTGCTAAAAAAGACCTAGAATTGAAACACACATATATGCAGGAATAAGCATTAGGCAAAAAGGAAAAAATGTCGTTTCTTTTTTTTATTTTTAAATGGGTCACGAAGTTGCATACTGCAAGTATGTGAGGTAAATGTGTACAATTATGGTTAGTAAACTAGTCAATGCATATAAATGCCGCAAATGGACAGCAGTCATAAAGGCGTAGACGCATAAACTAACAACTTAATTCACGTGTAGAACTAAGCTCTCAAAATTTTATAAAACATAGGTGCCTAGGAGAGCAAAGAATAAAATAAAAACCAGAACAAAGGGCAAAAGGACAAAAATTGGGTTATCCGGAAAATTATTTAACATAACCTTCCTTGATTGACAGAGGCGACAGCGTTCAACATTGAAGAGAAAGAAGAAGGAAAGGAGAATATAGACCAACACAAATCGGAACAAAAGGAGTCACCTAGTGGAGCATTATCATATGGTAAGTGAAGTGTTATTACTTAAAATCACTGTCAATGCATAAAAAAGCCAGCCAAAGAATCATAAAAAGGACAGAGAAGTTAAACAAAATATATGGATATAAAGAGTAATAACAGAGGATTCAGAAAAAATTCCTGTCACAAACATGTGCAAGCGTATAGATTTCATAGAGAACAAGGTGGCAGGGAATGTACACTGTTGAGAGTGGTTAGGGAATGGTGCGCGAGAGTGTTTGTGGTTGAGTGGAAGGAGAAGGAGTTGGAGGAGGAGGAGGAGGAGGAGGAGGAG